AGTGTGAAAGTGAGATAAAAAGCAAATATCTAATACAGGTTTGGGGTTTTTTTTTTTTTGTTTGTTTTGTTTTTTAGTAAAATCAACTTCAAGCTAACTCTTAATTTCTTTACTTGACATAATCTGAGATCTCTCAGGGATTAAGTTTTAAGAAAATGCTAATGGCCTGTAAGAACAAACAAAAGAGTAATCTGATTGTTAGAATTATGGTTATTGTTGACAATTCAGGACAGCTGGTGGCATGACGGTTAAGGTGACTGTATCTAACGTGGCCGGCTATGTGATTTGAGTCCTGGACCCAGCAAGCAGCTTGAGAAACATGCTGGGCATGTGTACATGTTTGCCTAAAATCCTGAAAAGAGAAATAGAGAAGGGATTGTGGTGTGGCCATCCCCAGCTTCTCACTATCCCTCTCCCTCCCTCTCTTTTTCAGTGCGCGCATGTGCCCTCTAAAAAAAAAAAAATTTAACAAATTACGGTTATTGTTTGTTTCTCTGAAATTTTGTAGTGCAAACTACTTTGAGCTGCCAGCTGTGTGGTTCTAAGAATCTGATAACCCTTATTGGTAATGATGGCTTTTATTACATTTGTCATTCCTCTCTTTAGCTCAGTTACCATAGAATGCTTCTGAGCTTTACTACTTCCTATATAATTCATGTCAAATATGCCAGGAGACTTGATGATTCATTTTGTTTAGAATTAGTTGATAGTGCTAATGATTATGTTGTCCTTATTATTTGAGGATTAATATCTTCTGACTTATGGGAAAGAGAGCTTTGATTGTATTTGGGTGTAGTCCTTGGCTCAGTATCCATTGAAACTAGTAGCAAATATTTGAAGACAGCTAACTGGGACTGGGAATACATGTCTCAATTTGAGAAACCAAAAAATGCTAAGGGACCCAGATGGTGATCAGACCTATGACCTTGGCCTCATTTGTATTTTGTTTTATCTGAGGTGATCAGGCACTTATATCCATAGAAATGGACTGGAATTATTGAATCATACTTCTGTAACATCACAATCTTCCTGGTTTTCAGAATAAAAGTCTTTTTGTGCTTTTGATATAAATATATAATCTGTAATAAAATGTTTGACTAATTTATATGGTGACATTCATCAGCCTATAATTTTTTTAACCAGTGATCTAGTTATAGAAATTTTGTGTCTTTTTTTGTTTGTTTCCTCTTCTGGAGTGAGTTCTTGTATTTCTCTTCCTGCCACATGGAATGAGTAGACATAAGAGCATAATCCCTTGTTTCACAGAAATGTTACTTGAACCTTTATTTTGCATTCATTCAACTTTTTCCCCCAGGACCAGAGAGGGAGGAAATGGGGGGGGGGAGAGAAAGTTGAGAAAGCAACTCTCTCCCCACCAGAGGGATGATCACACTACAATCCCTTCTCATTCTCCTCTCAGAATTTTGGGCACACACACACACATCTGGCTTGCTTCTCAAGCCATTGCGTTAGGACTTGAACCAGTTGGACATGTGGGATCCTTTTTTTTCTTTGAGAGAGAGATTTTTTGCTATAGGGCATGTGCACTCACCAGAGAGAGAAGCAGAAAGTGAGAAATCACCTCCCATGGAGGGTGGCCATGCTGAAATCCCTTCTCCTCCATTCTCCTCTCAGGATCTTGGACTCACTTGCACATGCACCCAGAGTAAGTTTGAAGCCGCTGGATCCGGAACCCAAACCGCTGTGGGAGTCCAGTGACATAACCATTATACCATTTGCTGGCCCCGGCCATATGGGATACTTAGTCTCCACAGCACCTGACTGGTCCAATAAAATTAATCTTTATATGAACATTAAAAAAGTAAATAGCTAACCCTTCATTTGTTCTGTTAATTCAATGTCATTTTACCAATGGTAACAAAGATAATTTCTGATTTAAAATTATTACCCTAAGATAGGTGGGTGATGTTCTTTTTATATTAGTGGTATTTTCTATTTTTGACTAGTGAATCTATAATTTTTAAAGTAATCAAGCCCTCTTTAGGACTAGTATTCATACAAAGGATCTTTTTAAAGTTGATAGAAAATGCACATTAGGAAAAAACTATACCTGGATTTCAATTTTTTTTTGCACCAAAATAAACTTGTATTTTTAATTACATTTTCTGTGAGCTCTCCGAAGTCTTCTTTAAAAACTGAATTATTTTTATTTCTCAAATAGAATATGCTGCCCAAAGGACATGAATCTATTTTAGTTGGTAGATTTTTCTAACAGGATGAAAAATAGTAGGTTTAGACAAGATGATCCTGAAATTAACCTTGGGATATTTTCAGAGAAAAAGAAAATGTCAATTTATTATTCTCTAAGTCATGTATTTCAGTTCTTAAATTAATGTGATACAGAAAAAATACTTGTCTGGGATGACGTTAGGCTGTTCTTTTCAATTTTGCTCCTCTATCACACTTTTTAATATCTTTAAATCCTGTGTATCCATTTCCCATCTGTAACGGATATGTACTATTTTATAGGTCTTCTGAGACGCTAATTCATCTAATAAGTATTTGCTTCCTTACTGTGTAAGCTGATGAGGTGGGGGAAATACAGACATAAATAAAAGTTGACTTTGATTGCTTACCATCTGTTAATGAAATTGAAACCATTCTCTTAAGCCTTGAAGAATTAAACTTGAAGTTTGGTCTTTCCAAAATAGTAAATGATTTTTTAAAAACTCCCTTATTAACTTGGTTTCTTTCCTTTTTTATTCTTTTATCTTTTATCTTTCTTTAAATGAGACAGAGGGTATTTTTGAGAGAGTCTTATGTTCCTGTCCTCCTGCCTCAGCCTCCCAGCTAGCTATGACCACAGGCACATCCCACCGTGCCGGACCTGTTTAGATTTGGCCAGGAACTGAATGTGGGTCTCCCATGCAGCCTGACACCATACAGCAGAGCCCTCCTGCTTATGCCACCACAGCTGGGCCTTAGTTTCTTTACACAGCATGATTCTTTTTTTTTTTTTGGAGAGGTTTTCACTATAGGGCACGTGTGCTCGCCAAAGACAGAGAGACAGAAAGCGAGAGATCATCCCCCAGGGGGGATGGTCACGCCACAATTCCTTCTCCTTCATTCTCCTCTCGGGATCTTGGGCACGCACGCACACGCGCCCAGTGTGAGTTTTAAGCCACCGGGTCCAGGACACGAACCGCGGTTGACTATGTGGGAATCCAGTGACATAGCCATTATGCTAACTGCTGGTTCCCCACAGCATGATTCTTAATGCTGCTTATTCTCAGATACTTACTGATACAACACTGGACTGCTTTACAGACGATTTAACTTCACTTGGTGCTGTCTGTGAACAAACTCATGGTCACGGCAAGAGAGGTGGTAAAGATTCAATAAAGGGAACCAGCCGTTAGTGTAATGGCTATGTCGCTGGACTCCCATGTAGTTGACCGTGGTTCAAGTCCCGGACCCCGTGGCTTAAACTCACGCCAGGCACGTGTGTGTGAGTGCCCAAGATCCCAAGAGGAAAATGGAGGAGAAGGGATTACGGCATGGCCATCCCCCCTGAGGGGTGATTTCTCACTTTCTGTCTGTCTCTCTCTGTCTTTCCGGGGAGTACACATGCCCTATAACAAAACCCTCACCCAAAAAGGGGAAAAAAAAAAAGAAGACTCTATAAAGCACATTGGCTTTTATCAGATGCTTTAAGGAGAGATAGACTATTTTAACTCTGTTTAAAAACTTTAAGTCATAGTTCCAAGATGAAAATCTTTAATTGCAAAGATTTAAAAAAGCTTTTTCAGGTGGTTAAGGCACTGGACTAACACATGGCAAACTATGGCTCAAATCCTAGACCCTTCAACTTGAAAATCACACTAGGGATGAGTATGTATGCCCAAAACCCTGAGAGGAGAATGGAGGAGCGACTGTGACATGGCCATCCCCCCCCACCCCCGGTGATTTCTTACCTTCCTTCTCTCTCTGTTTCAATCCAGCAAGTGCACATGCCATATGGGCCAAAACCTCAAAACAAAACAAAGCAACTTCTGTAGTTTTTTTGTATGTCTGTGATTATTTTCTTTTGTCACAATGAAAAGACAAAACATAAATGTGTTTTAAAGTACACATTTATTCTCATTGTTCGTTGTAAGTATTATGGCAATTTAATATCTGAGGTCTGTAATTATAATGATTTGTTGTTAGTATAAGGCAGTTTTGCCACAAGCTATGAAATTCTAAAAATATTTAGCTGGAATGCCATTGCATATAGCTGGGGTAAAAGTAGCCATGGGCTACGATTTAGAAATCTAAAGCAGACCAGTCAGTGGTGTGGAGCTTAAGGTAGCTGGACCCCACATGGCTGATTTTGTGGTTTGAGTCCTGGAACCTGGCAGCTTGGCTTAAAAAACATACCAGGTGGGTTTGAGAGGAGAACAGAGAAGGGATTGTGGCGTGGCCATCTCCCCTGGAGGGCGCTTTCTCGCGTTCTCTATCTCTCTCTCTGGCAAGCATAAGCACTCTGTAGTAAAAATTTAAAAATAATAATAATTAAAAAATAAACTTGGGCCAGTATTTAACTTATTTCAAATGAAACTGAAAACTGAAAGAAAATTTCTGGATGGTGCCAATAACTAATAATTTCCATTTCCCAACACCACACTCTACTTATAAAAGATGTGCCAAAATAATTTTACTTTAGAAGGAACCAGCAGTTAGCATAATGGGTATGTCGCTGGACTTCCATGTAGTCAACCACGGTTTGAGTACGGACCCGTTGGCTTAAACTCACACCGGGCACATGTGCGAGCATGCCCAAGATCCTGAGAGGAGAATGGGGGAGAAGGGAAATCACCCTTCACTTTCTGTCTCTCTGTTCTCTGTCTTTCTGGCAAGCACATGCGCCCTATAGCAAAAACCTCTCCAAAAAAAGAATAATAATAATTTTACTTTAGAAAATAGGGTAATGGGTGGCCAGCACATGGCGTGGTGATTAAGGGTGCTGGACTCACATTGCTGACCGTGGTTCAAGCCCCAGACCTGGCGACTTACTTTCTCTCCCTCCCCCCCCCACCCATGGTCAATATTAAAAAATAAATAAAGTAAAATAAAATAATTCTTAAAAAAGAAAATAGGGTAATGGTAACCTTCAACCAAAGCCTAATAGCTTCTAACCATGACATTCAGGAGACTGTCACACAAATCACATTGTACATAAATCACAGTAATGGTCATTACAGCATGTTTTTAGTAAGATAAAGTCAGTAATAGAATTTCAGTTGCAGGGACCAGCAGATAGCATAATGGTTACGTTGCTGGACTCCCATGTAGTGGACTGCAATTTGAGTCCTGAACCGGGCGCCTAAACTCATGCCGGGTACATATGTCTGTGTGTCCAAAATCCCAAGGAGAATGGAGAAGAGATTGCAGTGTGGCCATCCCTCTGAGCGATTATTTCTCACTCTCTGTCTCTGGCGAGCACACATGCTCTATAGCAAAAATCTGTCTAAATAAATTACATTTTTTTCCCCTTAAGAGTTGTTTCTGTTCTTGTTTATATCCCCCATGAGAAACAGGGGGTAAAGGTTGAGGAAAGGGAGGGGCGGGTCCCCTTTACAGGGTTTTGCCACATTGTGATCTCTCCTGTCCCCACACCCCAACTTTCCAGCCAGCAAGGAGTGTTCAGGTCTACTTGGGGTCTAAAGTCCAGTTTCCCTGTGTGACTCCAGTATCATACAGTGTGCCCTACCATCTGTGCCACCACAGCTGGGCCAGCGATAGATAATATGCTTAATTAGCACTATATGTGACATTAATCATTCAGCAGAAAACAAGTTCTTTTTGTTCATTTTATTAAAGAGGGTCCTATTATAGGCAGCTTCTAAATGGGTATATGTGCAAAACTTTGGGTTAAGTGTTTTAGGGGTGGGGAGGGAAGGTCACAGGGGAAAAGAGTCTTCATTTTCATAGCTGTGTTCTTCTACCCTTTCCTTTATTCCAATCTGGTGTCATGAAGGCCAGTATAGCTTTAATACTAGAACAGGAAATAAAGTATCACAGTGAAATCAGCCTATGTACTGTTTTTTAGACAATTTATTAGAACATAGTCACTCATTAGGAGCCAGTGAAACATCAGTGCAGCAAAAAGGAAGGTTGAGTGGTATAGGCCCTGTGATAGACCAAAGCAAAGTAATATATCCACAGTTTTGAAATTTCTAATAAAGATTATTAAAGATTATTAAAGTATACCTGATAACCTACTGACCATTAATCGTTCACAACATTTTCAGAAAGAAGAAAATATTAATATTCAAATAAGGCATTCTAGAAAGTTCTATAAAGAATAAATGTTTATAATAATCCTTTAAAAAGCCCTGGTCTGGGGCCAGCTGTTGGTGTGATAGTTAAGGCAGCTGAATCCCACAGAGCCAACTGTGCAATTTGAGTCCCAAGCCTGGCAGCTTGAGAAACACCAGGCATGTATGCGTATGTGCCCAAAATACAAAGAGGAAAATGGAAAAGGATTGTGGTGTGGCTGTCTACCAGGAGATAATTTTTCTTCCCCTGCCCTGCACCTGCAGCAAATGCACGTACCTTATAGCAAGAAAAAAAAAAAAAGGAAGAAGAAGGCTTTGGTCCATTTTGAAAGATAAACAATGTTAAGTGCCTGGAATAATATGGGCCAAATTTTCAAAGGCAATATCATCTTGTACAGGGGTTTGTTTCATCTGATGTAGCACCAAGTAAAGTAAGAATAAATACGCCATGGAAGATACAATCAGGTTTTTCCTACACCTCTCGTATTGCCTACTTCTCCCAGGTCATGGTACATCAGCACACATCCTTGTTGCTGAATTACAGAATCCAAAACAATCTCAATTTTAAAACGGCTGCTCAGATGACCCCAGCATAGTTCTTTCCTTAAGACGGTGGCAGTGAACACTAGCAGGTATCAATTTCTTTGATCAGGAATAGAAAACTCCAGGAAACTCAAACTTTCTTGGCCCTTTTTAATCTATCGTGTAAATTCTTTTTATCACCACACCTGTTTACTAATTATAATTGCTGTATATGTCAAGGAAGTATTCCCCAGGCATGCCTAACCTGTTTTCATTTTCTAATGACAAAATATATGACTTGTAGAGAGTCATAGGTCTTCTCTAACACTTTTTTTTTTATTGGTACTGTAATTTGTTATTTATCAAGTCATAGCTTACATTTGGATCATAAAGAGAAACTGGCAAGTAGATCCTAAAACACATTTTTTAACCTGAGTAACATCTGGAAACATAAGACTTTGTGTTTTCGATTGAAAATTAATTTAGTGCACGTGCCTGTAACAAAAACAACTCTTAAAGAAAAGTTGAATTTCAATGCTTACCTAAGAACTCATTAATGTTGATTTATGGACACAATCACATCTTTCACTACACACGTACTTTCAAAAGAAAACAAGTCAATGTTACGATACTATTTCCTTTATGTTAACTGATAGGTTTTTATAGCAAACTAAAATTTCCGAGTAAACTGAAGGTGTGTGTTAACAACAAAATAAATACAACATATATGGCTAGTTTTAAGTTTCTTGGAGTAAAGGCAGCAGTGAGTTTGTATCTTAAACCATCTGTAAATTCATTTGCTTTTTTGTCAAGAATTTTATAGATATGAACCATGTCCCACAGTGCTAGAAATGTCTTTTTTGGCATCAGTCTATGCAAAAGCCTCTGCTGAGATATTTGCCCCAAATGATATATACTTTTAAAATACTGCTCCAGGAAAGTATGGAAATCTTACCAACCACTGTTTTTACTAAACAAAAAAGTTAGATTCCCACCAATTGCTCTTTTAATTTTGGTCTGTTTTTTTTTTTTTTTTTTTTTTTTTTTTTAAGTTTAGACATCTCTGCTGTTCTGTGTTGAAGACAGCTGGATAAAACATACTGAATTATATTAAAAGATGAATCATAGTGTCTGACGCATTTGGTACATCCTTAGTAACCAGAAAAAAAATCAGTAGAAATAACACATCGTTTTCAAAGATCTCATACATGCTAGAGTCTTAGAAAAAGGAGCCTTTAAATGCAAAGATGAGGAGGTTCTGCTCATCTTACTAGTTGCACACGTTCCTCACGGAGTAATGGAGGCTTTCTGGTTTGTTTGTGGAACTTTTGTTTGTAGGAAGGCGTATATATAGGGCCAGATCTTGTTGGTTTCTGTTCCAGAGAATGTTTCCAACACCCCTTTTTTCCTAAAGATGAAAAAATTTAAAAATATATTTAAAAACACAGATCTGAGTCTTCCTAATGAGCTTTTTGAAAGCTTTTCTGTAAAAGATGATGCTATGAATTTAGAAGTCTCTGTCAGTTAAGTTTAGGTCTATGTGAAAGGCATGTGGCCAGGCATTAGAAAATCTAGATTTTAGTTTCAGTTGTGTGCTCTGACTTACAGAAATGGGCACTTAAATAATAATAGCACCTATCATTTATTGAGCATGTACTGCATGTAAAAACCCAATACTAAATGCTTTACGTATGACCATTCATTTAACCTTTTCCAAAGATCAAATTTTCTTTATTAAAAAAAATCTGCTAGAGTGTTTATTTTATTGATTAAAATAGTCTCTTTTGTAAAGTAACTAAGCATCAGGTTCATAGCAGGTTTCCAAACAAGGCCTTTCAGGCACCAGAACACCCCTTGGCTTTACTGTCAACTTACTCTTCAAACTGAGTTTTCTAATCCAGCCACTCCTCATGTAATGAGAAATCCCCTTTCTCAGTCTGTGTGAGTTTCCAGAATCCCCTTTCTCAATCCTTGTCTAGTTCTCACAGTCCCTTAGTATTAATACTACACAAAGCATTCACCAATTACACAGGACTATATATTTTGTTTATAAATTTGTATTTTATTATGCACTCACAGTAGAATAAATAAAAATTATTATTGTGGTGTGTCTTGTAACTTTCTGGCACTTAACTAATGTATGCTTTTTGTGTGAATAGGATTACATTATTCCGGTATGGTGGTGTGTGATATCTATTGAAAAATACATACCCTATGGCACCATAACACACCACAAAACATATGCCTTTATTTTTTTAATTAAATTTATTCATTGTCATTATTTTATTTATTTATTTATTTATTTATTTATTTATTTTGGAGAGGTTTTTGCTATAGGGCGTGTGCACTCGCCAGACAGACAGAGAGATAGAAAGTGAGAAATCACCCCCCAGGGGGGATGGCCACGCCGTAATCCCTTCTCCTCCATTCTCCTCACAGGATCCTGGGCACGCACGCACACGCACCCGGCGTGAGTTTAAGCCACCAGGTCTGGGACTTGAACCGCGGCGATCGACTACGTGGGAGTCCAGTGACATAGCCATTA